GGTCGGTGTGGTCCCGACCGTCACACTGAGCGATTGAATATCGGCTTCGCTCGCTGAAAGCTGCAACTGTTCAAACGCGCTTTCAAGTGAGGCTCTAAGGTCATGATAAGAGATGACTAAGATTGTGTTCCCGTCGTCATTGCCAATAAGCTGCACCAGCTCTTCCGAGCCACAATCCAATTTGTTTAAAGAGTGAAATACGTGACCCCAGTCTAAACGAATTCGATGATTTTCATCAACCTGGTTAAAAACGTACTGACTGAAAAGCCGCAGTGCGTAGCGATTGTGTGCCTCCGTGCTGTGTTCCGGCACATCATTTAGAGACTCTAACACAAAATTAAGTTTCACCATCAGTCGCATAAGACGGCCATTGTGTATCTCCTTTGCACACTGAGTGACCAAATAATCCGCATGTCCTTCTTGGTGTGCCACCTCCATTGACATTCGTTCTCCCAAAGCGCAGCACAGGTCTCGAATGTCGGGGGCGCCCTCCAGACATGCCTTCACAAGTGTCCAAAACGTTTTTGAAAATCCAGGCATCGGCTGATTCAAAGTATCATCAACCCGTGCGGCCAGATTGCGCGTGGATAGCTGAAAAAGCATAATCCCTAGCGCTTGAATGTCTTGCTTCATCATCACCGCTATACTAGGGCTGGAGTTCTTCGGCTCCTGCAGATCAACAAGCCCTATTCCACTAAAGTAAAATCTCCCCGTCACAGAGACGTACAAAATTTTTGACCAGTGAAGTCCACGCAACGGAACAGAGGTTTCGTGAAAAGCACGCAGGAGGCCAACCATCTGACAGGCAAAGGACCACAACAGACCCTCCGTTGCTCTTCCACTAAGAAAGAACTCTTCATGAAGACTTTTTGCGCCTGAAATGAACTTATATTCCATAATGACATCTTTGCTACCCATAACAAACTCATCTGTGAGAATTACACCCGTTAATGGAACCAAGTTGGGATGTCGGTAGTGTCGAAAGCGTTCATTAACGGCACTGCACTCTTCTGCAGTTGCGGTGGTCATCACAAGACGGCGCAAGGCAATTTCTTTTCCTGTATAACGAGCTGTTGTTTGATACATTTGCGTCATTAGTTTCGAATTCATTACACTCGGCGCCGGCATATTCTCAATGTTGTATATTGTCGTGTAGTGGGAGAACTTTGAGCTTGTTACGGGAGTGATGCTGCGTGTCGTGGAATGCATCAACAAGGAGGCATTCGGTCCTGCACTCCTCACAGAAGCAGACATAAACAATTGGCCCACGGGCGTGTACGGGGTGGAGGGAAAGGCGTCCGGCAAGTGTTGACAGAACGGGTCAAGAGGTTGAGGGGTGCTGTAAAGTGAAGCCGGTGATGCAACAAAGGCGTTAGTCAACACACCGCCCGCGCTGTTCACATGGCGACGTCCGTAAGGATGCTGATTGCTATTTAAACTAGCCCCGCTCATCAAAACATTTCCCCGCCCGAGCAAATTACCCTTCCCGCTCCGGCCCTTTGAATCCATATCTTAATAACGACTGTTCGAGGACTTCTATATACAGACACTGCCGTCACAGGAAGGAGAAATAGAGGACAAATTCACAACGACACCCCCATAGAAAAAAAAAAAAAAAAAAGGAAGTAGCAAGATTCCTCTCTCTCACACAAAGTAACACAGCAAACACAAACATCCATAAAAAAAAAGACACAAAACCACACACACACACAGAAAGAGAGAGAGAGAAAAATAGAGAACAACAAAAAAAGGTGTTATTAGCCGCTAAACAAAAATGCCTAGTCGCCTCGACCTCTTTTCTTACCACCTGTGGCCTGTTTCTTCGTGCCCGGGCGTGACTTATTCTTCACTGCTGCGCGTGTTTCGGGCATCACCAATGCCCGCTCGTCCATTCGCACGTTTCGTACACTCGCGCCTCGGATGAGTGATTCACGCGACTTCCAAAAAACGTCTCCTTCAGCGCCTGTCCGGATGCACTGCTTCAGCAGCAAATTCATCAACCTGTCAACCCGCATCACGGTTCCATTGATCGTTTCTCCGTTCGCCAACTCCACCGACACCACCTTTCCCCTACAGTTACGGAGCACATCCAGCGGTATCACTGACTTCTTCGTGCTCATGCCTTTTTGGCGCTTGAAAGGGGTAGAAAAACTAGGAAGCAAAACAACAACAGGGCATAAAATGAAAAAGAAAAAGAAATTTTAAAAAGAAATAATTTCTGGCGCCAAAGATAAAAAGGCCTCTAGAAATTGGCTGAGCACAACCGCAATCATGTTAAGCCTAAAACAGAGCACAACAAATCAATAACGCGAAAGAATTCAAAACAACAACAACAACAAAAAGTGCCACCCGCAGCACGCCCGGTCGTAGTCGTAGAAACCACACCGGAAAAATAGCAACATTTCGTCGTGAGTTGGCCAATTTCCTCCCCAGACATTCGCCAGAGACCTCCCGGTTTGAGGGCACACCAGAAGAAAACCCACAAAACTAATCAAAAAAGAAGAAATATATATATATTTTGTGTGTAGATGGATGGATGGAAGCGTGTGTGTGTGTGTGTGTGTGCTTCAACACGAAACAGCATGAATCTTCAGTCCAGGGCAATGCACATCTATTATTGTACATACGCACAGAGATATCCGCACGCAGGCACACAAACACACACACACACACACAAAATGCCAAACTGACTCAATGCAGTTCTTCGGCTGCAATCAGGTGAGCGCTTTGGTGGGGGTAATTGTGCATCTTATCTCTGCACCTTCACCACCATCCTCGCCGGCCGCATCTGATACTTCTAAGCAACAACGCGCGAAACACAAAAGAGAAAATGTGATTCATGTGTGAGCCAGTGCCGAAATGGCTCAAAAAAAAAAAAAAAAAAAAAAGCAACCGACAGCAGCATAATAATAACAATAAAATAATAATAATAATAATAATAAAACAATTCGAGGCATTTTCGTCTGACACGCATAGAATGAGGAGGGAATGTCCCTTTTTCCCCTTCATTCTTCTTTTCTCGCTTTCTCTCCACGTTCACTTGACTCGGGAAATCGTATCCCCTTCTTCGTTTTTTACTTTTATTTTTTTCCTTTTTGCCTTTTCTTCATCACTCATTGTTTCACCTTTAAAGCGTCCCGGTCGGCAATCCCAGGACGACCCACTCTTTGCTAGAAGGAAGCGCGCACGCAAAAACAAACAAACAAAAGAGCGTGCCATACTCAATAAAGAACGAAAAACAAAAGACGGTCTATCAAGCGGGCGGGGGGAGGGGGGAAAGGGCGTTTGGAAAAAAGTGACAACGCCGACTTTTTGAACAACAAGCAAAAACTGTTCTTTTTTTCTTTTCTTTTTTTTAAAAACTTTTGTTACAACAGAAACTAAATCATTCCGAAAGCAAAAATAAGTCGAAAGCACGCATAAAAACCAAACAAAGGAAAAAAAGAAAAAAAAAAAAAGAAAAAAAGAAAACAAACAAACAAACAAACAAAAAAAAGAAAGAAAAAAAAGAAAAAAAGAAAACTAAACGGAACAAACAAAAACAAAATGAGGGCGAAGTCCCGTAACACGTACTTACATACATCGGTGGAGAATGCGGGTGGCCATGGGCCTGTACAAGTACGGTGCTGCAGTTAATAAGGTCACGCAAACCAGCAGAAAAAAGTTGATATTTTTTTTTTTCCCTATTTTCCTCGCTCTACCATTCTTTGAGCCCTCGCCCTTTAGGACTAGAACTTCCTCCACAGGAATAATTTTGAAAGGGGAGAACGTGACCTCACTCCTTCGTACAACAATGAGCTTTCACATAATTTTTTTTTCCTCGCTTTTTCGCTTAAAGTTCCTCAAGCTTTCTTTTTTTTTATTATTATCCCCCCCTTCCTCCCTTGCTTCCTCCTCAGATATCAATCGACTCCGGTTCATACTCCTCTTCGCTGTCAACACAGGAGTTCGGGGCTTCTGTTAGACCCTTGGAGGTGGCTGGGGAACTGTCCTCCAACACCGTTCGCGTCTTTTCATTCGCTCTCACCGCGTCCTCCTGCAGCGGTCGGAACTCCAAAGGGATGCTCCCAAGCGCCACTTCTCTTGTGGCATGTCTTGAAACATGTTCGCGGACAATAGAGACATAGGCAATAGGGTCATGAAGCAACTTGGAAGCGGCAGAGGAGTTTAAAGGGTCAGAGGCGTTGGGATACCGCAAGAGTTGCGGGAGAAAAACATCGAAGACGTTCTGCAACTCATACATGGGTGTCCATGTCTGATTAATCACATCCAGACAAACAGACCCGCTTGCCTCGTCCACATTTGGGTGATAAATGCTGTTGCTGAATCCGATGCAAGGGGACTTAAACGGGTAATCAGCTGGAAGCTGGACGTGAATAAACCACGTGCCATCCTCGTAGGCTGTTCCCTCGGGCCCATTAAACTCAACCCAAAACTCTGAGACAGAATTAGATGGATGCACCTTTCGTGGGCCATTCATCAACTTCATAAAATCCATCTCCTTACGTCGTGAGGAACGATCTGCGGACATGGTGGATGTATTGTATACGCCCCCCTCCCCTTCTTTCAGTGTTCTCTCTTTTTTTTTTTTTTTTAATTCCCTTTTTTTTATTTTCTTTCCTATATGCCTCGTTTTTCCTCTCTTGTGAAATCGTAAAATATAGGTTGCTGCAAAAGACAGGCCTCCGCCCACCCCAAAAAAAAAAAAAAAAAAGAGCGTAAAGGAATAAAAGCAAAAAGTCGCAACCTCGCAGTAGGAGGTCACACACACAGACACACACACACAAGCAGAAAAAAGAGAATTGCACAAGAATGAATTGCCACCAGTGTGCACAAAGATATATCAATAAGCTTTAGAGAGGGAAAAAAATTCGCGAATGCGTTCTTATTTCCCGCACTCCCATCACTGTTTCCTTGTTTGCTGTCGTCGCCACACTTTTTATTATATTTGACACGCACTCTCGTCATCACGCCCACTCTGCCTCCAACAGGACCTCATCACCTGATAGAGATAGATGCAATTGCGTCCCGATCATCCCGCGGTACATCAAAGCTAATTCAGGCCATGCACGCAGCTTCCGTTACCATCTGAAGACAAGCGATGACAACGTGGTCCTATACCCTCTGCCCTGCATCATGGTCCTATTGCCTTCTAGGGGAAGAAAAACATCATATGAAAACGCAAAAGAAAGAAAAAGCGCGCGCAAAAATAAATCAGGAGAAATCAATAATACACAAACGTAGGAACAGAGTGTTGGAAGATCATAACAAAAATAGGCTTTTCTTTCTTCCGGTTTTCTTTCATTATTGCATCAAATACGAGAACCAATGCAAAGGCTTTGAATTCGTATATATATATATATATATGTATTACTCGTAGTCATCGCGTTGTACGTTGAAGGTATCCACATGATGCTTAATCTTTGAACCGGGCATCCACGTGACAAGGTCCTCTAGGCCTTTGGAGACAAGAAACGCGGGGTCCCTAACTTGTGTTGTGCCCACACGCACATGTCCATGATGGATAAGTTCCGCAGCAAGTTTGCAGTTTGTTGCCATGCTGAGATCACGAAGAACCGTAGATAACCGTCGCCTACAAAAGGCCTCCACACCGACTTTGTCCACCTCAGCCAAACCAAGCTTCTCCTTAATAAGCCCCATTGTAAAGAGTTTCTCTAGCAGTTGCTGGGTTATTTGTATCCGTATCTTGCTGTCGGATGGAAGGTAGCGAAGGTGCGCCAGAAGCTGCCGGGTAAGTCCCACCAGACGCAAGTACCTGCGGTAGTCTTCACGGTCCTCCAGGTGATACTTTGTGATACAGAAGGGCTCATGCCAGTTATCCTGTGGATACTGCATGAAGTCGTGCTTTCGAAGGAGCTTCTTCTCATGGTACTTGAGGGCTCGATGAATGGGATTGCCTTTGCTGTGCGTCGAGGCCGGTGTAAACTTACTCCGCTTGCTGCGCCTAAGAGCTAACTCCTGTTCTTTCACCGCACTTTTCGACAGCCCTGCCTTCACCACAGAAGCACGTTGTGCCGTGTCCCGGACCATCGCCCCTACAGTAAGAAGCACACGGAATAAAGAATAATCAAAAAACACCAACAAGTACAAATAATAAACTTCAAATACTATCAAAAAAAAAAAAAAAAAAAAAAAAAAAGACGCAGGAATTCACGCTAAAAGACAATAACTCTATAGATATGTGCACGATTCCAGAACGCTAATCCACCACCCCGTTCCTCAGTTAACGGAAAAGGAATAAAGCATCTAACATACATAACACTAAAGACAAGCAAATAAAACAAAAAAAGGACATTCAAACTAGAAACGGCACACACATAAACACACGTACGTTCGCCATATATAATTTCATCAGAGACGTCGATTAGCAACATGTTTTGTGGGACGTAATGCTTCCAACTCCCTTTGTGCCTCCTGCTTCTCCAGAAATATCCTCATAGAAGTTACCTTTAGCTCTTCAAGTTTCGACAATAGGGCCTCGTTTTCCAAAATCATCTCATCATATCGTTGAGCTGCCTTTTGTGTTTCTTTCCTTGAACTCTTCACCTTTTTCATAATTGACTTTTGTTTATCCTGCTCTTGGGATATAAGCTCCTGGTACTGCGCGGCCTGCTCTTGCATACGGCGATTATTTGCGGCAACTTGTTTGTTGATATCATTCATCATTTCAGATTTTAGTTGCTCTTCACGGCGACGCATCTCAACCTCCTGTTGCTTCAACATCATCTCCATCTGCTCCACCTTCTGTTTCTCTGTAGCAAGGAGGGAATTGGACCACTTCACCATTTGTCTGGTGTTCTCAAGGTTGTCACTTTTTTCTTTTAGTGAAACCTCGGTACGTTGAAGCTGTTCCTGCAGTCGATCATAACTCTTTTGAAGCTCACTGTATGCGGCCATCTTAAAACGCATCTCTTCCAGGCGTCCAGCGCCATTCGCTGCTTCCTCTTTCCATCGTTCAATCTCGGCGCTCTTTGCACGCTCCATGAAGTCCATCTCCTCCTTCATCTCACTCAACTGACCTCGTAGAGTTTCCAGCTCCACCGAAAGCTGTTGGTTGTACCGTTGAAGCTCACGATTTTCACGATCTAACTCCTGACGC